GCTGCCTCCTGCACACTCCCTGCTAGGGATGTGCCCGCAATCCAGGTACATGCCCTTGACCGGAATCGAACCTGGGACCCTTCAGTTCGCAGGCCGACGCTCCATCCACTGAGCCAAACTGGTCAGGGCTGAAATCAATTTTTAAAAAAAATCTTACTACCAGACCTCATCCTCCCTCGTGGGTCCTCGAAAAAAATGCTTTTTCTCACAACAGAGCAAGAACCCCACTTCCACCAGCAACAAAGCTGTACTAAACTAAATACTAAGTGAGTTCTTCAGTCAGAAGGAAAGTGATCTTGGAAAGAAACCATAAATCCATCAATCAGTAATGATACAGAAAATTTGAATATGAACGACCACCTGAACCTAACTGACAAACAGAAAACTATACCCATGGGTAGAATATACATTCTTTTCAAGGGCACATGGAAGGCTTACCAAAACTGGGTCATAAACCAAATTTCAAACTTTTAAAGAGGATTTAGAGTATCTCTAATCACAAAATTAAACTAGAAATCAATTATAAAAAGGTAACTAGAAAATTATCATCTGTTTGGAAATTAAGCAATGCATTTTAAAATAAGCTATGAGTCCAGTAGAAATCAGAATAAGAATTAGAAAAAAATTGAATGTAATTATCAATGAAAATACAATATATCAGAACTTGCAGGGTATAGCTAAAGCTATGTTTTCAGATAAATTAATACCTTAAGTGCATATATTAGGAAAGAAAAAGTTGAAATGGTATTTCACTATTCCTAGAATACAAGCAAAATCCTGTCCGGGCTGGCTTCTGCTGACTTTCCCCAGCTTCATCTTAAATCTCTTTTTTTTTTCCATTCATTTCTTTGCCCACACTGGCCTTGCAATTCCTTGAATGTGCTAAATTACTTCCTACCCTGGGGCCTTTGCACAGGTAATCCTTCTTTTTGAAATGTTCTTTCTCCTTCCTTCCTCTGACCAACTTCTCATTTTACAGGAGTCAGCTGACATGCCATTTCCTTAGAAGCCTTACCAACTCCCAAGTCTGGGTTTGGGGACTCAAACCTGGGCTTTTAAATTCAAACTCAGTCTTTCTTTCACGACTCATTACTGTAATCAGTCATTGTTTGGGCAACTGCTTTTTGTGCTATTAATTTAAAAATATTGTTTTTCATTCCCCAAATGCTATAAGCTCCTTGCTGGTAGCAACCAAAGCTGTCTTGTTTATCTCCAGCACTTAGCATAGTGCCTGGCAAATAGCCTATACACATGTGTTTAAAAAATAATGGAAATCCAAGTGTCTATTAAGAAGTGATTGGAAAGCCCTAGCCGGTTTGGGTTGGTGGAATCCTGGGTTCGATTCTGGTCAAGGGCACATACCTCGGTTGCAGGTTCCCCAGCCCTGGTCGGGGTGTGTACAGGAGGCAACCAATCAATGTGTCTCACTTACATTGATGTTTCTCTGTCTCTCCTTCTCCCTTCCACTCTCTCTAAAAATCAATGGATAAATATCCTCGGGTGAGGATTAACACACACAAAAAAGACAAAAACAAAAAAAAGTGCGTGAAACATTCATTATCCATCTAAGTAACCAGTTTACTCAAAGTTGTTAAAAGAAGAAAATTCTCCAGTAGTACTGCTGTCAGCAGTTGGCACTTACTCCAGTGGCACTTACAGTGCAGTTTACAATCATTTGCTAATCCAGGAAATCTCTCAATCAAAGATTCTGTCCCCACCTTAATGTTTAAGTACAATAATTTTAACTCTACATTACTTACTGTTTAATTTGTTTGGGAAAGACAAAATTTTCTTCTTTAGTAAACTCTATATATTACATCTGTTCCATGCTATGTCAAGCTAGGTGTAAAAGTGATTCAAATGACTGCCATTATTAGTAACAGTCTGTGGACGAAAACAGGGCCACATATTAAACCCGATAAACTGAGAGACCAGAGGATGGTGTGAAAATTCCTAAGTAAAAGCGGGTCCAGGCAGATACTAGTAGTTGTCTTAGGCCTATAGCTTCCTTGACAAAGGTCAATCTTTATCTTAAGTGAGCCTGTCTATTGTCTTTTTTGTGGTCTCAGATAACATACCTTTGAAACATCAGAGGAATCTCCTTTTCCAGACCCGTCAAGGCACAACCCCCTGCACCAGAGCAGGAGACCACACAAACCCTCATTGTTATCTTATTCCCACATACCATCTCTGTGTGCTGTAAATGTTACTTATTAACTATCCTGCACCCGCCAATGTAAAAGAAGTAAGTGTTTCCGGTTTTACTTTTTTATCCAGGCCCCGAGATTTCCCGGGTTTGCTTTCTTCCACCCCTTCCATCTACCAGCCATGGGTTTCATGTAGTGCTCCTTACATCTCCTCCTATGATTCTAATGTATAAATGCTGCAATACTGCCATTCTCAGGAGCATTTTCTCAATCTGTAGGAAGCTTGCTTCCCATCAGTTAACAGTTATCAGTTTGACTCAAACTCATAAAAATTCTCTACAGCCGAAACCGGTTTGGCTCAGTGGATAGAGCGTCGGCCTGCGGACTGAAAGGTCCCAGGTTCCTTCCATCTACCAACCATTGGTTTCATGTAGTGCTCCTTACATCTCCTCCTATGATTCTAATGTATAAATGCTGCAATACTGCCATTCTCAGGAGCATTTTCTCAATCCGTAGGAAGCTTGCTTCCCATCAGTTAACAGTTACCAGTTTGACTCAAACTCATAAAAATTCTCTACAGGTTTGGACATAAGTCAAACTTATGTCCAAGCAGTTGTTGACATCATAGGTCTACTTTCTCTGTGATATCTCACGAAAAGCTTTAAAGGGGTTGTTCTTCTTTGTTTTGTAGATGAGGAAACCAGAGAGGTTAAGTGACTTGCCCAAGGGCACAGAGCCAATCAGAAGCAAGACTGAGGTGTGATTCCAGGTCCAGGCAGACTCATAGCTCCAACTGCTGCCAATCTTATGTTCAGAGGGGGCTTTCAAGGGACAGGGAAGAAGCCAAGGCAAAGAGTGAAAAATGGTGACTACAAAGCAGTCTCAGCTAAGCTTGACCCCAGCCCAGCAGGGAACCACGTGTGACTGTGGACAACCTCTCTAGCTTCAGTTCTTCATCTGTGAAATGGAACCAATAATAGTAAATGAAAGCATATAGTTGAAGTGCCTGCAAAGCACCTATCATTTAGTAATGTGCTTAGTAAGTCATTCTCAAGGGATATTGCAAACAAACTACTCTTTGCTTTGCTCAGATTAAAAATATACTCATATGTCAGCTCCCCTTTGCCTTCAGAGGATATGATGAGAAAGAATATGATGATACAGTCTAATTCACTAAGCCAGGGACCAGGAGTCCATGAGTCCCAACTCCCAGGACGGTGAGCCACATGGCAGATGACAACATGCGTGGCCAGCGACTGTAAAGCTGCTCGGCTTCTCCCCAGAGCTGCTTCCCTTCGGCAGTTGGTTCCATGATCCGGTGAAGGGGGGAAGGGGGTGCTCTGGATCCGGCATCACTGCCCCACACACACTCCAGGGGGTGGGCCAGGGCCAGGAGCCAACCCCGATTTTGCCCTTTCCAGGATCACATTACTAGGGTGGCTGTCACCCACCCACCTCTGAGGTGTGACTGCTTTCCAACCTCTTTCTCTCATTGATTGTGATTATGAGCACTAATCAGCCCCAGGGGTGAGGACAGTGCTCACTTGGGCCGCACAGGAGCCTGGTCTGTGAGGACAGGAGCTTCTGCCTGTGGGGTGGCCCACACACTCTGCAAGGGCAGCTGGAACATTCCATTCCGCAGGGTCCACACAGCTGGTAGCACTCACACCCCCCCACCCCAGGCCCTGTGGGATCCCAATGGGCAGGCACAGGACCCTTCCGCATGTTACCTGCTGGCTGGAAAGGTCTTTTTCCTAGGCTCCTATTACTACTGCAGGACTTGACCTCTTCAAGATAACGGCCTCTCTTTCCCAAACCTACTCTTTAGTCAGCTGTACCCGAATCTGGTGGTATTTCCCCAGCTTCAGGTGTCTATGTACCCCCTGGGCCTGTAATGCATGTGCATCTCCCCCACCCCTCACCCCTCCTGGCTCCACACACATTTTTCATCAGCAGCTGTGTTCACAAGAAATGTGTCACTTCCTGGTCACCCAAACCTTCTGTTTCCATCTCTTGGTGCCAGACCCAACCCTTCAACACTCTGCACTCTGACTGGTTTGCCTGGGAGTCACCCCGACTAACCCTTGAAGGAGACAGACCCATGAAGGAGGAGGAGCAAGTTGGTCAGAGCCCCTGGTTACCTTATGAAGGTCCACAGGGTCCACAGAGACCAACTTCAAAAAAGAACCCAAAGCGTAAGGCCCGGCTCTCACTTCCCCACAGGAATCCCTCAGATCTTCCCTGACCTGCCCGCTAAACTAAGCAGAACTGCGTCTATATTGGACATACTGCATGCACCTCCCACCCTGACATTCTGGCTCTGGTGCCTCCCCTGACAGCACAGGAGCACAACAGACGGGTTCCGAACGCTGCCCTCAGCACTGTGCGACCTGAGCGAGCCATCAGTGTCCCTGAGCCAGTCCTTCTGGAGTAAAGCGGGGGCCACCTTGAGTGTCAGCATACACGAGCTTATGGCACAGGGCCAGGCACATGGGGTGCCCACAGGGAACAGACCCATCCCCTGAAAACCAGCTCCACAAATGGGGGACCAGCAGCACCCCTTCCCTGACTTCTCTGGGGGCCTGATGGACACCTGGCCTGGAATAGCCCTGCCAAGTCTGCCGCAGCCCCACTCCACTTGCCAGGTTGCTAGGGGAGAAGTGAGTGCTCATGTGGTCAATTACAGGTGACCAATAGCTGCCTCAGATCCAGGTGAGAGAGCTGAGAAACAGATGGTCCTCTGTGTTATTACAGAAATTTGAAATTAGGCAGGTGCTGGCAGGTTTCAAGCCATGTATGGGAATTTTTACAAATACAGGCTAAGTTTACAAAGAATATTAAACAAATTCTTACTTTATCGTGCCCTCCATTTTCGAAGCTGCCTCATGGAATTGCTGTGAAGATAGTTTATACATCTCAGCATTCTACAAAGAGAAAAATAGAACAAGTTACCAAAGACTGAAATTTCCCTCTGGCCCTGTCACGTGATGCAACTGCATTAAAAAGTGACAGATGCTAGCTAGCCCTGGCCAGGTGATTCAGTTGGTTAGAGCATCATCCTGAACACCAAAAGGTAATGGATTTGATCCCAGAGCAGAGTGTGTATGGGAGGCAACCGATGTTTCTCTCTCTCTCTCTCTCTCTGAAAAAATAAAATAAAATAAAAATTGACAAACACTAATTTCTTGACTAGCATTAAAGCAGACTAGTGACTGATCCACAGCTTAGGTCTAGTTCCTACCCTGGATCAATCACAGTTACAGAATCCTAGCCGAGCAAAGAATGGAAGGACATGAATTTTCCAGTTTAGGGGTCAGCAACACGCCCCCCATGAGCAAATCCCAGCCTGCCACCTGCTTTTGTAAATAAAGTTTTATTGGAATATGCCACAGTCTGGACTTGTTTTCACTTCTGTGGCTGCTTTGTGCTGCAATGGCCGAGTTGAGTTGTTGTGACAGAGGATGTATGGCCCACAGAACCTAACATATTTACCATCTTTAAGTAAAATTTCTGCTGAGTCTGGATCTGGTCCAAGCCTTATTTTATAGGAGACTCTGCTGCCCAGAAAGATGAAGCCACTAGCCTAAAGTCACACAGCAAGTGGCTGTGCCAGGGTTACAGCCCAGGAGGCTGATCCTGAGTCGGGCATGTGCCCTGCTGCCTGCCAACACCAAGGTGCTTCTTGGCATGGTGACTGGACAGAGCCCTGCAGGGTGGTTCCAAAGGCATGCACTTATATCCTTTCTGAGGTTACCTCGTGGGTGTACATGTACAGAGCCAGGCTGGTGTGGAGACAGCCAGGTTTGCAACAAGGTCGAGTTGGATTAAATCCCAGGGGCCACCTCACTGTGACTCTAGGTAAGTCACTACTTTCTTTTGCCTCAAAGGCAAGTTGCTTCAGGCCACACAGAACCAGAATCCAGCACTTTCCACTTGTTTCCCTGAGGAGACCGAAAGAAACACACAGCTAGCCCACCTGCCACCACGCTCCCTGCAGAGAACTGTGAGGACTGACTTCTTGCAGGAACAGCCTCAAGAATTAAATCACCCGGATCACAGCCCAAGACAAGGCCAGCAGTCGGACCTCCCCAGTGAGGGTGACAAGATAGCAGCAGATGCCATGCACACAGACAGCCTGGCCTGAGGGGAATGACCCCCTCCTTAGACAGACCAAAATGGGTGAAAGGTGCCCAGAACGGAGTCAGGCAGAGAAAGTGCCTTGTCTCATCACTCATCTGCAGGGAAGGTGGGGCAGGAAGCACCTCCCCGAGGACCTACAGAGCAGCAAGGCGGTACGGCAGCCTCAGGGAGAGCCACGCGGGAGGTCAGCATGGAAGGTTGTGCTGGAGGGAGCACACTGGGGCAGAGCAGTGTAGAAACTCAGCTCTGGGTGGTCCTGGGGTGAGGCCAATGCCAGGCCTTCCACCCCCAGCCACCGAGTGAGCCTGGGCAGGTCATGCTGCCTCTTCCTGGCTCATGTCCTCATCTTTGACCCGGGGAGATAGCCAACACCTCTCTCTGATGGCCATCATTGAGACAAGGGATGCGAGAAAGCTCCCACCGCACAACAGGTACAAAATAAACAGGGGTTCTCCTTCCCTCCTGGCCAGGCTGCCCTGGCTCCTGCTGGCACATGCTCACTCCAAGTCGCCCAGCACATTTCTCTCTGGAGCTGCATGTTCCAGCCAAGAGATCACGATTCTCCCTCAACCAGACTGACATTCACCCGACACTGACTGTTCTGAGCGGAGGAGTAAGGACGAGACGAGTGAAATCAGGGCCTCCCCTCACTCTTCTGTGACACCCTGGAGGGGACCGCTGAGACTCAGTTTGTAGTCCAATTCGTGAGTGCTCACAGAAGGCTGCACGGTCCAGAGACCCACATTTTAGCTTTCGCTTGGGCACATGCTGGCAGTGTTCTCTGGGTCACTTACTTCCTTGAGCCTTGCTTCCTTGTTCCCTCCCTCACAGGGTGGCTGAGACCATGCCCGGTGGTTCCTGGCTCACGATTCCCTCTGTCCACAGTAGCCACTATCATGACACCACAGAACTTTCTAACGCTAACATGTGCCTTACCTAAGCTCCCCCACCGATCCGGGTCTGTTTCCTTTCCCACAAGATAGCCTCACAGCCCAGGCCTTCTCCTCTTTGAAACAGTATCAGGTCCCCATCTTCCAGGCCCCACCACTCGTCAATGTCCCTTTACAAGGGAGTACCCTGCCCCAGATGGGCCCAGAGTGCTGCCGGTTGACAGAAAACTCATTGTATCTCCTGGCACACAGACCAGCAAGGGTGAACCAGTAAGCGGTTAAGTCAACCACAAGCTCAGACTGAACATGTGGTCAGTAAGATTTGTCACAGAAGTGCCCACAGGCCAAGAAGTGGTTGTGATTACCCCACAGCAGCTTCCTCTATCGTCTCTCAGAATGACTCATAGGAAGTCCCCTTCCTGCCGTG